GTAAGCAACTTAAGAAGAACATCCTTGCTCTCTTTCTCCCATATTCTTCAATTGACGAACGTCCCACCACAGAACTCTGTGAGCAAGAGAACAAGATAAACTTTCAATGGAAAATCTCACGTTTCAAAGATAGGAAGTTCAGGGCTTCTTTGATACAAAGGAATTTTATAGGATTTTGGAGGATTGAAGTCCTTAGGATTTTTTCCTATATTGGTCCTTTGATTCATAGGATTGGATCCCATAGGAATTTTTTCTATGGAATCTTTTGTACTACATTTCATAGGAAATTTAACATCCACTCCAACCTCTTTTTACAATTTCTTTGTTTTTCCCGTGGCATCAAACAATCATTGCTAATTCTATAGGGTTCAAATGGGCATGCCACTCCAACCCTACACTTTTCCTATTCCTACGTTTTCAAAATCCTACGAATCAAAGAGGCCCTCAGCATATATAATTTCCGTTATGTTGAGTACTAAATGAATACAATGTTTTTTTTTCATCAAAGTAACTACATAATCTTTGACATGCTTCAGCTTAAAAAATAAAACAATTGTTCTATTTGTATGCCTTCCACGGAGATTGTGGCATTGAAAACATTCGCTATTCAAATCTGGGCAGTCACTCCACTGAAAAGCATAGAAGAAACCTTTAGTGAGATAGTGTGCTATTAGGCTAAAGGGACGATGAAACACTTTACATCACATAAATAAAGACAGATCTTAGTTGGAACAAAACACCCTTACAAACACTACTCTTGACCTCTTGTGACCTCCCATATCGATCCTTTGAAGCAGAAGTACTATAGATGGTGCAAAGGCTGAAGCACATAATCCACAATTGGAAAATGTGATTGCATGTTGTACTAATATTGGACATTACCCACAGTATATATTTGTCTCGCTGTGTTGGAATGGTATGCTCACCTGCAAGGCTACCTAAATTCGGCTTATCAAATCTAAAATAAAATAATTGATCAACAATCATGCACAAAGAAAGTTCTTACCCTCATATAAAATTCAGATTTTCCACAAATTATTCAATTTGCTCAAAAATCCCACAATCAAGCATACCCTGGAGCAACAAACATTCAATAATCCATTCCTTTTTGCAAGACCAGGACAAAGAGTAGATATCATTTCGGTAGATAGGAAAATAATTAAAGTGAGTGGGAAGTACTGCATCAACAAGTGTTGCTTTGTATCTGACTTCACACTTGAAGGACAGTTCTCTATGCATAACCCATTTCTTAAGGGTTGAATTATAAAATTGGCTTTTAAGATAAAAGATTAATTAAGTATAGGAATGGGCAAGGAAAAGCAATACCTATGAAAAGCAGTATTGTGGAGGATGGGCTAGTTACTAAAAGAAACACAATCAGACCATACTGCCACAAGTATAAATCTCGATGGGTCCAAAATTTAAACCCTCATTTTTCATACAGCTGTGGAAACCACCAAAACTCTTAATTTAGTCTTAAAAACCTTCTTTTTTTGCAGTATCTCCGGTTTCATGACGATTTCGCTAGTTTCAATCTGATCAGAATATCCTAATGGCCTGTTCTTGTTCCCTGACTCTTCTAGTCAGTCATGATTTTTATTTAGCCCAAACTGCAGGAATCGATATACAACAATCATGATAGATGGACAACAGAGCATAAATTAAATAGTTTATAAGCACCACAAGCAACTATAGTGCGTATATACACCACAATTTGTACTATATGCCAAAGTTTCATTTTACGCCTTTTGTTTTGTTTCCTTCCCTATACTTTCCATACATGCCACCCTCCTGTAACATGGTCATTATCTTGCCATAGGAGGAAAGCAATCAAGGCAATTTCTAGAATTTCCATCTGCCTGAAGACACCATTCGTCGTCAGCTCTAAGAAAGCTGCATTTTCTAAATATTTGACACTATATTGGACAAATTTCTCAGGCCCTTCCATCAATAGGAAGATTATATTTCCAAAATCAAGACAGATATATGACAAAGGAAGCAAAGCCTGTTTTCTGTGGAAAAGATTAAGTAAATCCTCAGATGCACAGGCCGAGGAACAAGCGAACAGCTGGTCAAGCAGATTTATCCCAAGAACACTACATCCAGGACAAACGGAATGGGTAGAAGGTGCACCTCTTCTTGTAGTTGAGGATGACCTGCGGTAGAAGCTAAAGAACCGGGCGAAGAAGGCGATCCACCTGAACAATGACCTGTTAGAGCACCTCCAGCCCCAACGTGTTCCACGACGATGACATTGCCGGTAGCGCCGAAACTCTCCGTTACTTCGGTCGCTCAACGCTGCATGGCTATAGTGCACTCGAGCATCGGAGATCTGGCAGGGGCCCACCCAAGGACTCCAGATAAAAATCGGATACATGCTTCAGGAGTGTGGTGCGCCACCGATCTAGTGATGGATCTCGTGGCCGCCCCCAGAAATACTCCCTCCGTTCTGAATTACTTGTCTTGGATTTGTCTAGATACGAAGGTATCTAGCACTAAAATGAGTCTAGATACATCCG